CGACCTCGCGTCGCCTCCTGGACCCCTGGGCCCCAACCTTAAAACGGGAACCCTTCTGCTACGCATTCGGGAAAAATGTCCTTTTTTTTTTTTTTTTTCGCCGCAAGCATTTCCTTCAGTTGAACTATTTATGGAAATTTCAAGCCTGTGAGCAGGCCTGCCAATGCCCATCACGGCAGCACCAAATGTGCGCCGCGGGCTAAACTGTGCCGCGGAATTTTGTATAAGAATTGCTGATGCTCCTTATCCCACCAAAGTAGATCGGCCCAATAAAGCGCATAACATGTAAACAGATGATATCTGTCTGTCGGAATATCCTATATTCACACATGATGAATAACTGCAAGTTTGTTCATGTTTTATGAATAAAATTTTCCAGTTCCATAATTTGCATACAACGAGGAAGGCTTCCAATCATGTAAACTTATCTAACCTAACTTCCCCCTGAACTCTGAAGACCATGAACGCTCTAGGGAATATCAGGCGACCCCCTAGTTTTGGAGATAACCATCTAGAGTTTCAGGCTCTGAAAGGGGGAAGGAATGGCACTTGGTAACTCAAGACACTCACTTTGCCATCGGCGTCGTGCATCACGCGCACCACCTGCCAAACCCGGGGTGGCAGTGCTAGCCGCTAGGTACAAGGGCCCAGTTCAATCGTCAAATGGAAGGGCTGTCTGTGCTGCAGCTTGCAGTTGGGAACCTCAAGGCTTTTCAAACGTGAGTTGCGCAGCCATCTTAGGCACCGGAAGGGCTCCTTTGGAGGCACCTGTGAAGCATGTTAGTTTGCAAGATCGAGCTCAAGCTCAAGCGTCGACCGTAAATTAGGCCCACCAGGAAAAGGCCCACCAAAGAATAAGCAACTGCACCCCACAGGGTCACCGGATAAACAACGGCTGAAATCACAGCGCTGCTAGCATAGACCATGAAAACAATCAAAAATATGAAAAGGCTGATACCAAGATCCAGCAGCGACGAAGAGTGTCTGGCAGCGAAATAATCGCAAAGCCACCACATAAGCTTCAAGCACAGCAGGGTCCCAAAACACGTCCATGCCAGAGCCGAGCCAATGAGCTCGGATAGCACGCTTTGCATGGAAGCATGATGGTGGATCATGGCAGCAATTACATCGAGAGCCACGCCTAAAGGTCCCAGAATGATAACCAAACCATAACCTTGGCTTCCAGATTACCAAGGTAAACATGTTTCAAACATTCTCGGAGGCTTCTACATTTTGCGGAACCCCCCCAACCACCGGACAATGGCAAGTAGTTTGACTCGTACCCAATTACTAATCACTCTTGCTCAGGTGCGGTCTAGGTTTTTACTAGCTGCCATTCCTGCATCTTCGTTTTCGTTTTGGTTCTTCAACCCTCAGACTTGAACCTAAAACTACTACCAACCCGAAATCTTGAATACGAAACAACCGAAATCGTCCATCCACTATTTCTAGCGTGATCTTTTGTCAGGGGAAGGGTGGAGGTGAGCGGCTTCTGCACGCGAGCCACTTCGAAGACGAATATCAATCAATCTTCTTCAATTTTCCAAGTAGCTCAGCGGCAAGTCAATTGCGGACATGTCCAGAAGCTCCTGACGCAAGTCTCCTCGGACGTATTTCGTGAATTCTTCTTCGCTTCCATACCATTCTCCTAGGTCCACACATAAGCGCTGCAAAGCATCCCCACAACTGTATACCCAGAATCCAGGTCTCAAAATAAGAAAGTTTGAAAAGCAGTTGTGCATGTACATGTATTTGCGCAAATGAACAGGTATGGGGCCTAGTCTCGAATACAGGTGAGGATGAACTGTCGGTCTTCCTCTAGAAGGCAATCTGCCTCCTCCAATTGAAAGCGGTCCAAGTCAGCAATTAGCTGGTACTTCTCCCTCATGAAAATTCTGTTCCCGTGAACAATGATGAAGAGAGGGGCCAGTGTCACCGCCACGACCATCGGAAGATAATTTAGAATAGTTGTCCCGGGAAAGGCGAACAAAGACAAGTAGATGGCAGCCGCCAAATAATTTCCCAGCATCATGAGAAAAGCCTGCCGCTCGACAAATAATGGCTTCATAACCACACGTCCATGCGGGTTTGCCTTGCGGAACGCAGCAAGCTCAAAGATACACCTTACTGCGTCAGCTGACTACTGGCTTGAGGGTTTAGGACATGTTTGCATTTGCTTACGGCCCAGACCTCTGAGAAGATCCTAGAGGCAAAATATCTTTGTAGGTCTCCCTGATCGTACTGAACTGAAGTACTGGGAGCCGAATTTGACTGTCTAGTGTTTTGGATCCACTTCGAGTTTGAGGTTGGGTCTGAAGCACGGGATCTTGATGAGACACCAAGCCACAGTCAAGTTTAAATGCAAAGCTGAAAGTCAAATCGTCCGGTTTCAAACATTTCCACAGAACGCACAACATTGTCGCTGGGAGCCCATCAAGAACTTCCACCAGCTAACTGAAACTTTGATAAACCATTAACCCATGCCCGAATATTTAACACCCCCGCCGCGGCCGCAAATACATGATATGATGTATCGGGTTCTCCCAGACATTCAAAAATATATTGGGCGCATGGATAAAGCTACATCATCCACATTCGAGACGGTCGGCCTCCAGTATGAAGAGAGGATCGTATTTAGCAGGCATGGGCCATGAGCATGCTCGATGAAGCCTTTGCCCTCTATCTAGGCTACCTAAAGAATTCTGATACCACAAGCTTCACCGGATTCCTTGCATGAGGATCACACAAGACATAAGACCATCTAAGAAACACGTAGCTTTCGTTGTGAGCAGCTAAGGCACCACAGGCGGCTCAAATATGGCTGCGACCACAAGACGTGCAATTCCCTGGAAATACCTAGGCTGGCAACCTGTTGGGGAACAGATTCAGGGAACCATTCATTAAGTTAACTACATCCGCAAAGAAAAAAAAGACTACAAACCGGGATCCCAGACACTGAGGAACCCCCCCAAGCCATAGATGCCTCGCTCCGTGAGCTCAGGGTCAATCTGATTAATGCTTACCACGTCCAGAAAGCACTGGGGCGACCAGTGCATGACGTAGGGGGCAAAGAGTAACGACAAAAGAGCAGAGATGCCACCTGAAAGGTAGACCCAAGGAGTAAATTGCATGTCAGACTGATGAAAATCTAGGACTGACATTACCATTGTCAGGGGCGCGGGAAGCAAACCAAAGCAACAAAGGATGAACACCAGTGTGACCACACCAGCCCAGCATGTCAGAATATGAGGCCAGCCATATTGGAAGAGCAGCGACAACACCTTCCACACACCACGAGTTTTCCAGGAGTGTGAAAAGAAGATGTCAAAATGATCCCCTGGCTGAGACTTATGCCAGAGTTTGCTGCGGGTCGTTTCGTCCAGGTCTGCGGGTGAAGAGAGCCATAGGCGGCCGCGTGCCCTCAGGCTTGCAGCAACGGAGATTCTCCGGATGATGCTGACGTCCACTTCCAGAAGGTTCATCGACTGGAGACGTAACTCTCGCGCATTTAAATGGCCTGTCAACTCACTTCCACAGGACTCCTTTGATGTCTCGATGCTCGAATGGGCTCCTTGCCATTTGCAGTCCAGCGGCTCAGGCTCAGGGGGTTGATGCACGATCTGTATTGGTTCATCTGGCTTCTTTGCGTCACAGCAGCAGCCGAATGATTCCATAGCCCGAGGTGCCCTTTGGATCCCGGGGTTCAAAATTACCCTCAGGAACTCATTGGTAACGTCGCGCGTGTTTAAAATGCGCAACGAGAAAAAGCCACTTGAGTTGAGCCAGCATCGCACGCGGTTTGCTTTTGGTTCCTTGCTGAACAGTATCCATCTCGAGACTGGAAATAAAGCTAAGTGTTAGCGTGAATCTCACTCATATGATAGCCTCTTGATGCCATCACTCTAATTCCAAAAGGAAGGCTTCAACAATCTTGCCACGTCATGCCCCCCTTAGATAGGAGCACCACAGGGAACTGTCTAAGCGCTGCTGCAACCGCGACACCATTCAGGTTCTCCAGTACCTGTGTACAATCAATTTCTGGAAGTCATGATCTGCACGCCTGGAAACGCAATGGAAATATGCTGCAAGATGTGTGCAAGTTTGGAGGCTCCCCAAGTCTCAATGCTGTTAGCACCGTTCAGCTGTCGCCACGGCAGGGCCAGCAACCTTGCAAACACCAGCCATCGACAAACATTCCTCAATCTCAACTTGTTCCAGCTAATTCTTCAATGTGAGATACAAAAGCCCAGCAACCAAATTCGAGTTTCTTCGTAGCCTACATTGGAATCATGCGGAGATGGGAGAAGAATGCTCTCCGTATTTAGGTGTACACATCAACTTTGACCTCATGCAGCAAAAAAACCTTGAGCGTGCCTAGACCTTTTGAACTGTGCTTCCCTTTTACTTAGCCATCCTCCTGCATCTTGTAATATATACTACTACTGGAACCATGCTGACTCTGGCAAGTGCTACTGCCGCTGCTTGTCCGATAACGAGCACAATGCTGACAACATATGCATCTTCATGAGGGTGCTTAATTCGCAGCATAAGGATCCCCGTGAGCGATTAAGATCTTCATAGTACGTCAGTCCAAAATGGCTTCATACTTTTGAGAAAACCTCAGTTATTTTTCAAGGTATCAGCACTTATCTTGTCCTTCTTTGAGCCCTGCCCATGAGCCTCACTGAATGCTAGCCAGCCGCTGGCCGCTCACATGTGTGTGTGCATGGACTGATTGGGTTTAGGTGTCGAGGTTTAGGATTCAGGGCTTAGGGTGGAAGGTCGTTAGGCTCTAGAATTTTGGTCTGAAACGTTGAGTATTTGACGGTTGGTACAATCACTCGCATGTGTTACATTATTGGATGCCAAAAATGAAATGCAGTGACGAACTATCATCACTGTGATTGTTTCCTGCGTCGCTGCTGTTTTTGCCAAGGGTAGGGAATTGCTAGCATCCAAGGACATCTCCAATTATTACTGATTTGGGACTCTGAGCAGTAGGGAACGTTCGGCATTAGCAACTTGAGTGTCCGTTCTGTCCGATGCTCTGCTCTGAAAGCCACGCAAACCTACGATGGTCCTACTATGTCCTGTGGTCGAAAAACTCAAAACTCATTACCTGGTCAAGCCTTCTTGAGCGGAACCCTGGGCCAAATGTCCACAAGCCTGCCCCCCACGTGAAGCCAATTCCTCCATGTACAAGCCAGGCAAAGTCGGCCACGGACTCCAGGGTTTAACGTTCAACTTAGACAAGTCCCCCATTATCCAAGTTTGCCGTTTTTTGCTAGTCGTCATCCCCATGCCGCCGTCCCACAACACCCTTCATGCTCAGAACTAGTGATGCGACTAATAGCAAGGCCAAGATACAGTGATACAACAAGCCATCGTCAGAATGCTAGCATGAACTCGAAAAAATAAAACCGTTGACAAACCTGCGAGTGAAACGCATGAACTCATGAACCCTTTTGACTGGTGCATTTCGCCAATTTCTGAGGTGGATTTCCTTGGGAAAGCCCTCTCTGCGCCAGGAGCCTCTTCAACTCCAGTGGAACACCCTTTGGGCTGGTACGGTTCGCGCTCTTTCCACGTGCATCGCAAAGAGAAATCTGCATGAACGCCACATCTACTGCTGCCAATGTTCATTGAAGCTCGCTCAGCTGTGACTACTACATGTCTTGAAACAGTTGTAGAAGTTCAGCTTTCTTCTCATCTGGGATGTTGTAAATCAACTCGGTGGCCCGCTCTTTTGGATATCCAAGGACCTGAGGTCTGGGAGGTTCAACAGCAGGAAGTCTCTTTTCTTCTGGGTTTCTGGGGACCAGAGCATGAAAGCACATTCGTGGAATCGTTACGGAATCTCATTCTTAGCATTTTCAATGCTTTAAAATGTTCAAGAACTCCCACCTCCATGCCTTTGCGCAAGGCCTCCACGACCGGACCGTCCAATGGCTTCCCGCTGAGCGTGAGGCCCCGCACTGCTACCGTGACCACGTTGCGGAAGTTGTGCTCTCCCAGCCTCTGAGGGGATGCAGGGTTGAGGGTCCAGGGGTTTAGGGGTGCCAGGTTCAGGATCTGAGCAAGGGGCCTCAACTTTTTTTGAAGAATCCCAAAAACCCAAGTGAGCCTCACGAATAGCACTGCTCCTTGACTCCTACTTCTACCACCACCGCCAGCATCATGAAAATGACTGTTGTTTCTACTGCCTACAAGAACCGGCCAAAGTGAAGTTCAGCTCACCGAGCCTCTTAAAGGAGAGGGGTCGCAGCTGGGAGTCGGCGAGCTTGCAAACTGTCTCCCAATCCTCCTTCTCAAGGCACTTTAGGGTTCATGGGTAGGCATTATCATCGGTAGCAAGCACTACGTGGCATGCAGCCACGTAATTCTATCACCACGAGCAGCACATTTCATTCCAAATCCTTGTTTTCAAGGTGCTAGTGCCTAGTGCATGTAGACGCGTAGCGCTGGGACGCTCACTGCTGCAAATCCTCCTCTGCGTGTATGGGGAGAATCTTGTTTTGATAATGCTTAGATGGGTGCCTACCCTCAAGAGCCAGGGTTGCTGTCTAGGGTCTAGAATTGATACTTTCCAGTCCTTTCTCACGGGGGTACCAACCACAGTTGTGACTACCTAAGATTTGACAGGAAGCCGATCTTGGAGTGGGTCTCTTTTTCCCATCGATCCTGCACATTAGCGGTCCACATTGCTTGATGCTCCGTGATGAAGTCATGGTAGAGGCCCTCTGCATCGTCTGCAGGCGCGAAGGGCTTGAGGACTTCATACCTAAGGTCCCGAGTGGAAGTTGAAAGCAGCTGGAAATCGTGAATCCGTTAAGTTTCAACACGGTTGTGACTGAAAAGATGTGTCAGGCAGCCATCAACGCTTCTACTTGGACATGTTGTGTGCGGATCTACCAGTTACCAGCAACTATCTCATCTCCCATCACTTTTAAATTGCCATCACGCCGCATCTGAATGCCAAGTCCGGCATCAAAACTGGTCCCGTGCCCAAGTGTTCATGTTCGCGATATTGTGGCATTTTAACCATGGAATACAGACAGTAAGCGCCCTCAAACGCATATCTCATTTTCCTACGCTCGCCAAACATGGCCAAACGACATGATGAGAGTTTGCGCTCGAAAGTTAGGGGCTTGTTTGAAAGTTCAAAAGGCCCGTTCATCCTTAAACATGTCCCTTATATTTCGTAGCACAGGGCCCCCAGAAGGAAGCCATCATTTGAGCAACCTCTCATTATTGGACTTTCAGCAGCTCCAGCCCCAAACCCTTCACCCGAAACACTTTGCCCTAAAACAACTACATCCCTATATCACCCCCATTTTCTTTGCTGTGATCCCTAAATAACCCCATAGGGTTAACCCCGAACAGCACCGTTATAATAAAAATGGTATTAATAATAAGCATACTAATAATAATAGTAATAGTAATAGTACTAGCAATAGTAAGTAACAATACTATTAATAATTCTGGTAATGATTCCCAAGCGCTTCTTTGGATGGTTGGCCAGCTGGGGCTCAAAGGTGCTCAAGGGCCACCCTGTCATCTCCTGGGCTCTGGTCAGGGTTTAGGGCTCAGGATGCAAGTTTCAAGTTTATGTTGCAAATTTGGGCTTTAATCTTTTAGGGTTTAGCTTTTAAAGTTGTCATCTTGAGGTGTTCAAGTTCTGTGGGTCTTCTCCTTTCCCTTTTCAGAAGCTCCCCGAAGGTGTTCCACAATGGTCTTCACGAAGCAAACCTCAGTCGCAGGGTTCAGCTTTGAGAGCCTCTTGAACGGCATTTCCATCACCCGTATCCAGTTTGGGCCTTGAAGCCACCTTGTTTGGGCTGAGGCTTCCGTCTCCTGTGTATATGTTCAGCGGTTGGCAAACCTCAAATCACTAAATCCCAAATTCTCAAGACTGCCCCTCGTGCTCCACCGAAATCACGCTGAACCCTCCAATCTTAGACCTTACAGTGTGCTCGTGTAGTTGGAACGGGAGGGTAAAGGAAGCGGGGGGCCCCGCGTAGCCCTGCTATCTCAGTGACAAGTCCTCAAGCACAGCTGCCTGATTCATGATTTGAGGTACATTTCAGCAACGAATAAATGAGCACGTTAAGATCATGCATTTTGAGAAGATAGGGCCAAGGCCTAACCTCTGTCTGATCCAAGAGCAACACGCTAGAGACCCAATGCCGGAGCGCCATTGCCTGAATCTTAAAACCTTGTGGCAGCTAGCCTCATCCCCGAAATCCTCCCTCACACGGTGCAATCAAATCTATGAACCCAAATCCCTCAATTCCCCAACTCCACCAATCAGCGTCCAAGATTCCAGACCTTTGCGCAGCAAAGACACAGCCTCTTCGACATCCTGGTTTTAATGCCATCTTGAAACAGCATGATCATAGTTATGAGCATGTTTTGAAGATCGCAATTTGGCAATCTCCTTGCTCAGCTCTGCTTGAATGGCAGATGCCCCAGCTCTTTGGGATCCTTAAAGTCAAGCATATACCGCAATCGAGATTCATCTGCACCAGGGAGGTGCAGCCCTCTCACTTTCAATGTAAACCATTCTGAACACACTCCTTGAAAGGGAATCACAACCAGAAAGGAATATCAGAAAGGAAAACCGTCCAACATTCAACCTTGAATGTGAGCTGCCAGTAGCTGTGCCCCAAGACTTGTCTGAATCCGCCCTTTTCAACCACGAACTCCCTGAACCTCAAGCTTTGAACCTAAAAGCCTGATCCATGTCCTTTGGACTTGACTGCCCGAAGCCCAGGGCCGTGAAGGACCTTTGACTACGGAAGCTTCTGGAAAAAGCTTGCTAGGGTATGTAAAGGTGCTAAGCGTCTTTTTCGCACGTTTGTCGGGGGTAATGGGGCTATTGCACTGATGTCTGGAGTGTGTCTTGCTCTGGAGGTTATGAAGGTGCAGATCTAAGAGTTCAAGGTTCACGGTGCCTGGGGTCTACAAAGGTTCTCAGTTTTGGGGCTATAAGCCAGCTGTTAGGTCTGGAGGCTGAATCTCACGGGTCTGTTTCTGGAAATTTCTGGGGGTCTTTCTGTGGGGGTGGTTTGCTGGGTTTCATGAGCATCTACACAGGGTACTTTTTGAATGCAAGGCCTGTAACAGTTTACAGACCTTTGACCGTCCAGTCTGTTGAGCAATGAACTGCTGGAGGGAACATGCGCAAAATGAAGTTGTGTATCGTCCACTTCCGTGTCACACCTGGGATCGTACTTGACAACTTGTGCCAAACCTTCTAGGCCTTTTACATCTACCAAGCCCGAACCTGCCAAACCAAAACACCCTTGAGCCCAAAAAACAATCACGAGCCTCGCGCTGAAGCCTGAGCCCCGTAAGCAGAGCAAAGCGACGGACACGGCAAAACGTTTTCTGAGAACCCATACCTGTCAAAGCTGTGCCTTCAATATCTTGAGCAGGACCCGACATCAACCCTCCACTGTCCCTGTGAACGCTGTGTGACAGACAGGAGATCAAATTTCTGCTCTCATTCAGACATTGCCCTTCTTATCGTGCTTGGCCCCAGCGTTTGCTTCTGCTGCAGAAGACGCCTGCTGTAACAATCGCAACAACTGCTGCTAATCCTACTCCTCCTACAAAAAACACCCCTACTACCACGACTACAACAGCATGACTGTATTTAGACAAAGGCGAAGTGCATGGCAAAGCAGTTCTGGAAGTTTGCATCCCCCAGGCGTTGCCAGGCTTCCTTCGTCACCTAGAGAGGTTTGAGGGTGCAGGGATGATATAAGTTCTATGGGAGTTGGAGCAGGAACTTGAAGATGGATGGTATGAGGACAATATAGGACCAGAGAGTTCTGAGATATGTATATCTATGATATCTACGTGTCGGGTTGGCAAAGGTTCAAAAGAATTGCATCAGGATCAAACAAGAGATGGAAAAGTGAGACTGGGAACTTAAGAAGGACTTGGGGGTAGAGGTAGACACAGCTTAGGGAGAACTGAAGGGTTTCTCAAAGTTGCTCCGCTTCTGGGAGCCCCTACAACAAGACGAGTTGAGGGAAGATGAAATTGGATGGCAACCGGATTCCGAAGGGCAAAGGCCGAAGAAAAATGTTATGAGCCTGAGAGTACATAGGGAACGCGCGACAAACATGTTAAAATGGGTGCGAGGTACTACAAATCTGTCGGCCTTGTTTTCTGTACGCCCACTTAGTCTGCGTTTGGACTACCATCTGGGGATGAGCGTGCCTTTGGGAAAGCGGTTCTGCAGGGACAAGAAGTCTGCGGCTGCTTGGGTGTCATTCTGCCTTATCCGGATATTCAGAGGAGCATTGAGGAGCATTGCGGTCAGACCGATTACCTTGGCAGATTTTCCGGGGTCAGGGTGAAACCTGGAGTCCTTTAATGTGTGTATGGCCGAGCCGCAGCTCCAAACTCAACTTTCGAGTCGTATGCGGAAAACAGCGCTGAGTCCGAGTCAGTTTCAGGTTCAAGGTTTGAATGGGCACGGGTTGTCATCCCCGCCTGGGTACCAACGTGCTCCAGCACCTCTTCCCAATCTTGTGTGCGGAATGCGTCGAACATCTGATGGTGGTCATCAATGATGCTGATAACCTTCCAGGGTTCCGCAGCTGCTCCCACAACAATGAGTATATACGATCTAGGGCTAGGGTGAAGGGTGTCTTCATTTTAAATACTCTGTGTAAACCATGCCAGGGCATTGCCCTTCCCCTTTGCCTCATACCTTCTAGACATGAACTACGCCCTCCCTAATATACAATGTCCAAAATATGGGGACCCCCTCCTTGGCAAGACTCAGGAAAAGCGGCCGCAACTTTGAAACACTTTGGGCGGCCCTTTGAGGGTGTCCCTGAGCCTTGCTCTTTTTCTTCTGAAGCTTTGGCTTCGAGGTCCCCTTTGGCTTCTCCAAGCCCTGGTACAATTTCAGCAGCTCCTCTTTCCTCGGTATTGCTTGCCACTTGCATTCCAGTTCCCACTGCGACTAGTGCTGCAGCTGCTGCTTCTTCTGCTCCTACGACAACTATTAGCTTTACTTCTGCATGATGACTCGCACCCTAACTTTTCATTCTGCTGCCGGCATCATTATGGTCATGAAAGCTGGTTCATATATAGATGGACATTGGGGGTTTCCGTGTCGAAGGGGGGGCTTCAAATCTTGAACATCTTACGGTAAAGACACACTTGCTTTTGGGATGCAGGGATTTCAATGCCTTATTGGATTCTGGTAAACCAGGGAATAGCACTTTGAGTTGCGGGTTCTAATGCATGAACAAGAGAAGCAATCTCAAAAGGCAGCCCCGCTTCTTTTCTTCTGGGATGCCATAGATGAGCTCGGATGCACGGTCTTCTGGGTACTCCAAGACCTGAGATAACATCTGCAGATGGCGTCAAGATACATCTGTGCAGAATAGTTTTCTTGTGGATGTACGGTAAACTAGAACACCACAAGAAACTGTTCAGGAACCATCTTGGGGATTGGGTCTGGACGTGGCTGCAAAGGACATATGTCTTGGGTTGATCTAAGAAAAACACAGCTTTGAGCACCCTTGTACAACTTCCCGTTCGGTGTATAGCTTCAGGGGTCCAAACTTCAGATGAATCCCCGCCTCCATACCTTCGCGCAAAGCCTCCAAGACAGGACCATCCAGGGGCTTCCCGTTGAGAGTGAGGCCCCTCACCGCCACGGTCACCTAAAGCCAGCAAACTGGCCATGCAAACTTGGGAGACCTTTCAATTTAGCAACATATACTGATTTGTAGACAGAATTCCTAATGCGACATCAGGCATATTTCGCCATTCCAGCACGTGGGAGGTTCTAGGTGGCATGTAAGAAAGGGGCGGGATGTCTAAGTCATACGAGGGTACTGCTCGAGGCACTGGCTTTCTTCTTTTGCTGCAATTTATAACGCCGGAAAATTCCTGTAACACATCTTTTCGGGTCGAACATTCACCTTCCCGGGGCTTAGTTTTAATTGTTTGGGTTGCGATGGTTTTCAAACGCCACACAGTTCTTCTGTTGTGGATACTTACACTTCTCAAACTCCTTTTGAACTTATTTGGGGCTCCGAAATCACAAAGAAGCTCTGAAACGGCTTCGGTCACTACGTTGCGGAAATTGTGCTCGCCAAGCCTCGGCAGAGAGGGGCGTGAATCTCTTTTTGGGTAAAAAAGAACCCTGCCTGCCATGTATACTATGGCCTTATAGACCTCAGATTCCTGTTCGAGGAATACCAAAACTGCTGGGTCCTTAATACCATGCTCAGTGGGTTGTTTTTAACAACTCTCAGACTTTGGCCAGGCATGACCCCCAAACTGAGCCTTTTCACAAGCTGAATCTTTGAAATAACTCCTCGAACTGCAACAGCTCGTGTAGTAACTACTGCCTAGCAATCTGCCTACCATCCACTCCTAAAGTCTCTGCTGATGACTCGGAAGTTGAACTCCCCAAGCCTTTTGAAGGACATGGGCCGCAGCTGGGATCCAGCGAGCTTGCAGACCTTTTCCCAGTCCTCCTCAATCACTGCAGCATCCGCGACACAAGCAGAAGTAAAGATTTGTCAAAGCTTGTGCCTTTATCACTACAAGGGGGACGCCTATTCTTGCTCGGGGGTTCATAAGTAGATGTAGGTCGGCTTTTTAAAGGAAGGCAACTGTAGACAACTGAAATCACAGCACTAAGCTTCGCAAAGGATGAAAACGATGAAGCGGTGCCGGGGCGTGGTTCCAAAGCTTTGCAATGCACCCCCCCTTGCAATAAACCCGCTCACTGCCCTCTGATAGCCTTTTAATGCTAAACCAGAATTCGTGCTACAACTGTATACGTGCGGAGAGGCTTGGATGCTTGCTTTGTTGTTTCAGCGACGTGACGCAGTTTCAATCCACCCCCAGGTCTCCTCCACGTTCGCATTCCACATGGCCTGATGTTCAGAGGCAAAGTCATAGTAGGCACCGTTTTCTTCAGCCTCTCGGCCGCCCCACCAGGACTTCCAACCTTCCTGGGTTCTGAAACCAAATTAGCCAAGCTCTTGAATGGGGAAGCCCGTAACGAGGAAGGACAACATGTCTCAAGGCTCACAAAATCCGTACTCCCCTCCTTCCACCCTGCATGTAACCAGCATGTCGTCCCCGCACTTGCCATCTTCAAGGCCGAAAGGGAAACTCAACACGAAGAAGCTGGAAACTGCCTGACAACTACAGTAAGCACAAAATTGGAAAGCTCCTAGGTTCTCCCAAAGTCGGATCACTCATGGGAGCCAGGCGTTTTGTGATGCTCTGCACATACCAGTCAAACTCATTCCTGGGGTCATTAACAGAATTTGCTTGGGAGTTCTCTTGGGCCAGGGAGGGTATACCGAAACTATGACGGTTCCAGCTTCGTGGACCACCTTCTAAGTTTTTTTGGTTAGGCCCCTCACCTATCGGCAAAAAAACGGCCCCTTTTTTGTATCAGTCGATATATGAGAATTGGGGGAAGCTTTCCAAATGCAACTTTCACTGATACGTGCTGCTGGTATATCCAACCTTGATGTATTATTTCGGACTTTCGGACGAATAGCATCTGTAAGTAGAAAGTCTTTCGGAGTAATGAAGAGGTCTCTCCCCATGCCAGTGCCCACCTGGGAAGAACTCGCTTCCACCTGGTGCTTTTGCGTTCCGGATCTTCAGGGAAAATATTGCCTTTTGCTCTGTGAATTGTATTCTTTGATACTTGAAACACCGCCCAAAAGGACTTCTAATCTTGAAGCACCAAGGCCTTTGAACTCCTCCATCCAGTTGTCGTACTGAAACATGGGATGGTCCGTCTTTTTGATGAGCTCCGCAAAGTCGAATCGATCTTGAAATTCGGCTTCGTATAGGTGATGGGTCTCATGGAACAGCCAGAAGACTCGATGATGTCGCGCCCACATGAGACCCTCATCCTGCAGGTTCTACTAGTCTAGTGCTCCAAAAACAAGAACTTTATGGTCCCAATCTGAATTTAAAGCGCTACCAAATACCACATCTAGTGCGTACACGCTCCCATAGGATTTCTCGCTTCGTGCTGAATATACTTGCTGAAGTTTTACACATGCAATGACAAAGCCATAGCTTAGCAGCACGCTTTAAGAACGCCTTATTGGGATCCGAAGACTCGATGTTTCACACAGGAAGCCGCGTTCCCTGAACCTACAATGCTCTAACGAGCCGGATTATAACAGCAAGGACCTAAGCACCCTGAAAACCATCATACAAAAATGTTTCATGGCCGTTTTGATTATCATAGTTCTTGTCACCGTCGCAGCATGACTTTTCTTTCTGCGCTCTTGGACATGCCTGGTAGGCAGGACGTCCCTTGAAAGCTTTGTGGCCAACTGTGCTGCAAGCGATGCCACCCACTGTGATTGTGACTTTTGCCTCAGGTCAGGAGTCACTTTCAAAAGTGGAACACACAAAGTTTGACTCTTCGTAGGGCAAAACCTCCGGGTTTAAAGCCCTTACTTGAACATGTTTTGGAAATCTTCGGGCACGCCCAAAATACCTCTATTCGTATAAGTCTCCCGTGTGGTGTCTGCAGCTGAGGATATATACGTGTTCACATGCTGGGATCTGGTCTGAGCTTCAAAAGAGGAGCTGAGGGTGTGCAATTGGGCTAGGGCTTGGCTTTTGAGGACACGTCCTCTTCTTAGGATCATGAGCAGAATGCTTAGCTTAACGGATAGTAACGGAAGGAAACGGAACAGTAACTGGCCTCAGGAGGTCTGCCTGCAGGAAAGAGCAGATGGAAGGCCACAATATCGGACTGGCCCCCATTGTCCTGACACCGAACAAAGCTCCCAAAAAGAAACCAAGGTTCGAGTAAGGGAAGATATTCATTGGAATCTCTTTAAATGTCTGGGGGCCTGGTGGTGTGTCTTGTACCTGTATGGCTCAAAATCTTGCTGGCTTTTGGAATAAGGACTCGGGGTTTCGGCTGTGGGGTCTAGTTTTGGCGAACATGGGACTTCAACCTCAAGGGCTTTTGGTTTTTGATCTCAGCCTGCGGCTTACGATTAAGGGTGTCGACTAATTTCAAGAAGCACATGTCGTTCCAGAAATGTAAGCGCTGTTTTTGGTGCCTTTTTTGTTATGGCAGGTAAAAGTTGGGCACGTAAAATGTCATCATCTTCTTGAAAACTGACCATTTGACGGTTGCGTAAGGTCGAAGATCCACGGTTCGAGGCAAGATGTAGCCTCCACTGCTGTAGGCATTCGGGCTCGTTTGGGATGCATTGGCTCAGCAACGCGCATCTTGGTTTTTCATGCTTTTTGGGTTCCTTAGATACCAAGACCTGCCTCATCCTGCCTGTGCACAAAGAATACTCTTTTGAAAAATGCCTATATGACTGGCAACTGCTAAAGTGACATAATCCGTGGTGCTTGCACACCTTTAACTTTCAGCTTGCAAAGCCAAGTCAGGACTCGAGCCTTGGCGTAGCCGTCCTCCCACTTTGACAAGGCCGCCACAAAATCTGGCGCCCCGAAGTCAGTGTGGGATAAGCAGCGCTGGTATTTTGAATCCCATAAAGGGTTGTGGGCCTCTTCAGGGCGCAGAGCTTCGGGATGAAGGCATGGGATCTAGTAACTACGGTGTCTGGGTCCAAGTGCGTGCTCTCCCTGGACAAAACAGTATCTACTCCAAGACCCTGTTCATGTCCTTGCGTTCGAAACGTCACTGTTCACTGGGTTCCAGCAGCTCCTTTGTGCACATAAAATGAAGGTCGGTACACTAGAAGCTACTGGGCCTAAGCGGCCGAATGAAGATCGCTTCAAAACTTGTCAGGAGGGTTCAAACGAGTCGAAAGCGACAAGTTCTACTGTGGCTACTTCTGCATCGCGCTCAAAACAACGCTTTTAAGCCCCTCAAACTGTAGACCCTAGCCAATGTCACACAACACAGCTTCTGCAGGGCCACTGAAAACCGGATTCCTCGGAAACTAATTGGGTACACCTTTCTGAACTGACCAAACAGCCTAAAAGCTCCTATGAACCCTGTCCTGGCGGTTCCCCAATTTCAACTGCTTGCTGTTGCAATGTGTTGCCAACTAGCTCCTAGAAGCCGAAAGGATTCCAACCTTAAGGTTCCCCTCAAAAGGCCACAGAGGGATCCCTACAATCCCGTAGTAACAACTCCTGGACAGTTGTGACTCTAACCTCTACACAAAAGCCCCACAACCATCAGTTGGTTTAGGGCTGCCAGTAAGTAGCCTTGGTCAAGACCTCCCAGCAGTCTTCCACCACGATGGGTTCCTGGTTGAGATCAACGAGATCAACCCAAATACAAGAATGTGCAATTAGAAAATGGGTTCAGGGAAATCCTCCCCACCCCCTCCAAAGATGCCTTACATGGCTCCATGAACCCTTAAATCCTAAATTAATCGACAACCGAGGCTCAAAACCCACTTCACCGTCGGTCAAGAAGCACAGTGCATCACTAAACAATCGCCAGTCCCGAATCACATCCTGGGGACGGGTTGGGGTAGAATTGGCTCTGGTGGCAGACGGTGATCCGGAATCCACATGTTCCGTGTATAGGGACATTGGATACTATCAGGGAATTGATCGAGGTTAGAACGATGCAGAACTGTACGTCTGATAAGTCTAATCACAAAATCTGCCCTTTTTAGGTCTTATTTGACTTGCCCATGCGAGCAACACAGAAGGAATGCGCCAGGGCATGAACATGTACTTCCGTGTAGACTTGCTCGGGCAGCTCTCGCAAGATCACCCGTTGAGCCGCTGGAGCATTGAAATTGGTTCGTCAAATGCTCTTCAGTCTGGGTGCAGGAGTTAAGGTTGGGGCTTCAGCGTGCATGTTGTGAACTGTTTCGATTGATCGTTAGGGTTCGGTAGTATCCTGATCTTCTGGTTGCGCAGGAGGGGCCTCCTCACATCTGAAAGCTTGGTAGACTCGTCCGTGAACTTTGTTTCCTGCCTGCCAATGTGCGGGGGAAGGTTGAAGGTTAAACTTTGCTTATAAAGATGTAGTGTCTGGAACAGTGACGGACTTCAGGGTTTCTTCATCCCAGCTTGCCACGCCCGCATCCAGCATTGTGCCGTCATCGTCAACAACTACCTGGGGGCTCTCAAGCTAACTCAGGTCTCTTGCCTGCATCGCTACATCTTTCGGTCCGAATGTTTGAAAACTGCCACCTTCATGTGTGAATTCTTGAGCAGAACCAGGGCCACCTTGCCAACAAATTTCGGCTTCTTGCCTGACTTGCGCCACTTCAAGGCGTACCACAAAGCAAGGAGGTCTCCTGAATCGTAGCCATCGACAGGTTTGTGGAGCTTCAGATAGTTGTCCAGCAGTGTCAGGGCTTTCTCTTCCAAACCTCAGTCCGCGTTGCTACTTGGCCTACATAACCAGCGGCTTTCAACCATTAAAACTACCGTGCCCGCCCGCCGCCACCATCCGCAGCAGCAGCCCCAAAACGACCACGACCAGATCCACGGCCACGACCACTTCCACTACCACCCCCGCGGTCACCACCACCACCACCACCACCGCCGCCGCCGCCCCCCACCACCACCACCACCACC